ATATTTATATTTATATTTATATTTATATTTATATGTATATATGTATTTATATATTTATATATTTATATATGTGCGATTTTGTTTCACTGCTTTCTATTTACGTTTTATGAATAATTAATATCAACATTGACAAGTAATATTACTTCTCTTCTTCGCCTATTTCATATCGCATTCATTTAGTTTTTTAGAAGTCTCTACAATTTTTTCACCTTTAGTTTCAATACTTGAAAAAGAAGTCAAAAGAACAGAAGCCAAATTGTGCGACAAACATAACTGATTTGAGTTGATTTGAATTAATTTTACTGTCGATCCTAAATTCGCTTTCAAAAATTTGAAAAAAATTTTTTGCTTTTTCTTTCTCTTGCATTGGCTAATTTTTACCAGCCGAATAAATCACTGCAACATATCGCCACTTATATTTTTCGAGTATCGCGATTATTGCTCTGGACTGCCAAGCATCTGATGGAACCACACGCATAAAATAACTGTACTGCTCTTTATCACTTAGATCAGGTGTTGTCGATCCGTAACCTTAATGATAATGGATCGTAATTGTAATGATAAAAATTTTGCTCCCGTAGACTGATGTTTCATGCAGACTTGTCAAAAATTGTCTTTCTCTGAAACATTCGGTTTTCAAAACTATTTTGACTACTACTAATGCATTGCAGTTCTACAGTACCAATTTGTGGTATCCGAAACACTTGTAACAAATTTTGAACAGCAATTGTGGTGGAACTTTTTGCTGGCCCGACGACTGCAACAATGGCATTCGTTTCCTCATCGCAGCCAGTCGTAGTACAGCATGGACGATGGTGTGACACGCCACCACGTAAGAATGCGATCGCCTGTTCCATTGCAACTCGTTCTGCCCAACAAGAATCCCTAAAAAAGTTAAATTTTTTTTGCTGCTTAAATCCTGTAATGTACCTTCTATGTTCATTTTTCTGTCTTTTTTTTTATTTTTGTCTTTTGCTATTTTTTTTACCGTTTTTGTTTTCCCTAACAGCTTTGAAACAGTAACTGAAGATTGTTACCTTATGGTTATTCCAATTTTAAACGGAAGAATGTCATTCAGATCACGAATCGTTTTGAGGGCAATTTCAGTTCTCTGTATCCCATACTGCTCCCATATATCTCCACATCCTTCCTTTCTTTGTTGATGTTCAGGAAATAAGGCTCCAATCTGCATATGAAAATATGGATGTTGAGATTAAGCAGCTAAAATTTGCACAAACCAAATTTGGAAAAAAGTCTTTGAAATTTAAACATTTTTTTCAAAAGCATGTTTATCTGAGATTCAATAAATTATTTGTAACGAAGTGCAGAATGCATCCAGAATGTTGAACACTTTTTTAAAAGTTATTTGGTTAGTGAAAGACTTTAAATGTGGATAACTTCAAGAGCTTTACAATGACAAAATAAAAAGAAAAACAACCGCAAAAACTTTTTTTTTTAACTTTAACCGTTCATATACAACTATTTATACGCATTTTTTTAAGGAAATAGCTCTTTTTTTTGTTTAAAAATTAGTCTCTGGCAACTGTCTGTGGCTGTTTTTCGTGAACTTCCAATTAATCCATCTGAAGTAAGAGACAAAAAGCTGATTTTAGAAACATTCAAACTAATCGGTTCTCTGCTGATACTTAACAGAAAATCAGTCAATCCAATCAATTATTTTTGTTTATTTTATACTGTGCTACCAATATCTGACATATGTAATGCATTAAATACTACTCAATAATGGCATATGTCAAAAAGAGTTTATTAATATTACCACTAATAGTTCATCGTTATCTCTTATTATTTTTTTTTATAAGTTCGAGAAGACGGTGTTTATTTTTAATAATCTGCATAAACGACTAAGTTCTCTGTGACGAGCAACGAAGAAGAAAGATAAAGTAAATATGGCCAATAAGATAAAGACTTTGCATAAACCCAGTAAAAAAATGCATTTTATTTATATGTGGAGTTGATAACCACAGTTAAAAACCAAAAAGAAAGCTAAAACAGAAATAGGAAAAAAAAAGCTTTAAATGCGTGCAGTTTGGTGAATTTTGATAAAAAAGAGTTGTTTTTTTGATTGCAATTTGCATATGCCTCAATAAAAGCATAGTTCCTGAAGTCTGAAAGTTTAGAAGATTAAAACAATAAAATATAAGAGCAAAGCTTTTGTACAGCAATGTCACCTTGAAAGGAAAATGTCATGCAACTTCTACCATAATTATTATGTCTCGAAGACAAGTTATTTTTTGAAATACTTCGACTACTTTATACCTAAAAATTCGTGCAAGATTCTAAACTTGACAGTAATTGTTGCCACTTGTGCATTTTCTGTTGTTTCAGCTCTCTAGAATGTGAAATAAACGAAAAAATGTTTTGTTATCAACTAATAAGAAGGAATTCTCAGATAGTGAACATCGTTAGAAGGTGCCTGTTCTGATTGTGAAAAAGAAAAGATTACTTGCAGAAAAAATGACACTGTGAAGCGGCGACAGCCATATTGGTTACAAAACTGCATTTGCAGCTTAAGACCTTCCCAAGAAAAGAAGAAATTGATTGTCAAATGAAAATGTTGATTATTAAGTTTGGTAATGTTTTCTAAAAAATGAAATTATACAAACCTTCTTCATATTTTGTTCAGAACATAGTTTGCAAAATAGTATACCTGCGCATGCAGTTCTACTGTGTCATTCCTCTGTTATCTCTTAAGCAGTCAGATTAAAGAAATTTTGGAAAACAATTAGAGTTAAGTTTAGATTCATTACTTATTTAAAATTGAAGCATTTTTGAGGAATCAGTTTTTGCCAATGAAAAGGAATTTTGTTAGATTATTTGTTCTGCTTTTTTTTTTATTTTTTAATATCAGCAAATTATCAAACAATCTGTAGTGCAAAATAATGTTGAAAGTTGAGTCAAATAGTTAACACTTATAGATATGGTCAACGTTGACCACTAGCTTGTATACAGAACAATCCTTATTTGAACCAAGACTTTTTTCAATATTATTCTGCTTACAGCATTCATTTTTATCAGTGAAACGCGTTGCTGTAGTAAATATCTATCAAAATTTTATTGTTCTAGACTGTCGTATAGCCAAACCAGAATAAAAGCAACTTTTGGCATAACCTTTGTACTTTAAACTAAATTTTATTTCTTTTCTGTCAGTATTTGTTTGTGGTCATTTAGAAGAAGAAAAAAGAATTAGTTCTGTCAGATTAGCAATGAAGAGAAAAGTTGAATAAGTAAAAAAAACAGTTTTGCTTTCTATATTTCTTCTGCTTATAAATTGACTTTGAATCAGGATTTAGGTTTATGTCTACCTGCAAATTTGAAGTAGATAACTTTTCTTACAAATTTCCAGGTTTTTTTTTGCCAGGACAATGTTCCGCCAGTTGCTTTTTTTAAAACTGTTTATTTACTTTATTTATTTATTTATTTATTTTCCACATTGCCTTGTAGATTTTAAAGTAACAATAAAAGTTGACCTTCTTCAGTCGACTGATTGTTTTTTTTTTCTATTTTGAATCTAAAAACGGTAAAAAAAATTTTATTAAATGTTCTAAACATGCAAACAGCTGGGAAGATGAAGGCTAGAACACGATATGCCTTTAATTTTAACGATTTGTATAAGAGAAAATCAATTTGACCAGCTGAATTTAAGCTTAAAAAATAGAGTTGAATTTTTATTCATAAGTGCTTGATTTGGTAGTCTTCGTTTGTTTGCTGTTGCATGCATCACAACAACAAACA